CAATTATGAAATTATTTCCTTTTGGTCATGCAAATTTCTACACCTTTCAGGTTCTTGTACCGAGAAGTCAAGTTGTTGGAAAATTAATGCAGTTTATTTCAATCGTAAGGTTAGCGAATGTGCCTCACTTATTTGCAAGCAGGTCAATTAGGACAGAAGACAAATGTTGCAGACGGGGGGAAAACCGTGGTGTAGACTGGAAAATGCAGCACTGTTTTTAAATTGCCATAAAAAACTTCTGTTAATATTTCCAGTGTTATATGCAACCACCCCACTTATCTTATTGCTGCATTACCAGCCTACCTCCTGGATGAAAACCCCATTTATTGGAAACACGGGCGGGCTGCCCCGCCTCGGTGCAGTCTCCACAGCATGTCCGCTCATCAGCACATGAAAAGAAAGATGGATAAGGTATTGTGTTACAGTCTTCAGAAAAGTGTCGGTTGGGTTCCGAAAATACTTCAATTTTCTAAAACTGCTGCGATGGGCTAAGCTTGTGAACTGGGGATGGGATCTCTGGTGCAGAACTACATGCTACTCAAAATAGCACTTGATCCGCCTTCATTGTGGTGTGCCCACAATGAATATGACAATACGGTCACCGATTTCCTCGATCTTGAAAGCTTGCACAAATTATAGCTAGGATCCTGCGTTCTTGAATTTAATTTTTTTTTAGCAAAATTAGAGGGTGTTTATTTTTTTTTTTTTTTTGAACCATCAATTTGGAGCTTCCATTTATGTACGCAAAGTTCGGAGTCTTTCGGCATTTTCGATGAGGGAAATGAAAGGTAGAAAACAGCAGTTTGTGAATTTAGTAAAGCAGTATTTTCATTTGAGAGCCGTATTCATCTACTGTCGTAGCGGGCCTACCTCATTTTTATTATAAGGGGCTACATGGCAACGGAAGTTGACACTGCAATAAGAGGAGAATTGCAAAAATTGTTCGAAGATTCCGGGAAATATAAAGACTGGTGGGGCTTATAACAGCTGGTAGACCGAAAAATTGAGTTTTTCAAATGAATCTGAATCAGCAAAATTATAACGGCTAGTGTTTTTTGGAGTTTATCAGGTTTATCTGAGAACGCAGAACCCTAATTACAGCTAATGGACTGGGAAGAATTATAGCACTGGCCTGTCCTCATCTCCTAATTCCTCTACTGTTGGCACTGATGTGCCAACAATAGAGGTGCACCATGCTGGGCTTGAAAAATCCGGCTTGAGAGGGCAGGTGCCAATGCTTGCATCTCTCCATTACGCTTGATCGTGGCCCTAAAATCAAGCATTATCAATAGAGGAGATCTGCATTTCTGTGAAAAATGATTGCAGACAGATCTAATGTCCTCCTTACTGTCGGTCAGGGTGTCCTAAAGGAAAACAATGATCCATTTTGCAGCTCGGCTGTTTTCTCTTGGGTCTGTATTCGCCGTACGTTCTGCAAAACAAAGCGGTTATTGCCTACCATGGTAGTTTTCATTAGGACGAGGCTCCTGTGTGCTTACCACTGGCAGCATGAAAGATAGAACCAGGTCTTTGCTTCCTGCTGCTGTCCACCTCGTTGACAGACTTTCCAGCCAACAGTGAAAATTCAGACTTGCATAATTACATTCCTAGACATTCCAAGTTGGGCTAGATGGGCGTTCACACTGAAGTTAGTGTCGTCCTCACTGCAAGTTGAGCTGTAGCCTTGAATCTCGCTGTTTTGTGACTTTTCTGTGACTTCGACATTGCCACCGGCTAAAGTTACTTGCCCTCTTTTGAGATAGGCATGCCATGACCAGCTTGCTTAGGCCCTAAAATGGAACATTCTCATGAGGAGAGATCTGTATTTCTGTGAAAAATGATTGCGGACAGATCGAATGTCCTCCTTACTGTCGGTCAGGGTGTCCTAACGGAAAACGATGATCCATTTTGCAGCTCGGCTGTTTTCTCTTGGGTCTGTCTGCTTGCATTCGCCGTACATTCTGCAAAACAAAGCGGTTATTGCCTACCATGGTAGTTTTCATTAGGACGATGCTCCTGTGTGCTTACCACTGGCAGCATGAAAGATCCAACCAGGTCTTTGCTCCCTGCTGCTGTCCGCCTCGTTGACAGACTTTCCAACCTACAGTGAAAATTCAGACTGTTGCATAATTACATTCCTAGACATTCCAAGTTGGGCTAGATGGGCGTTCACACTGAAGTTAGTGTCGTCCTCACCGCAAGTTGAGCTGTAGCCTTGAATCTCGCTGTTTTGTGACTTTTCTGTGACTTCGACATTGCCACCGGCTAAAGTTACTTGCCCTCTTTTGAGATAGGCATGCCATGACCAGCTTGATTAGGCCCTAAAATGGAACATTCTCATGAGGAGAGATCTGTATTTCTGTGAAAAATGATTGCGGACAGATCTAATGTCCTCCTTACGGTCGGTCAGGGTGTCCTAACGGAAAACGATGATCCATTTTGCAGCTCGGCTGTTTTCTCTTGGGTCTGTCTGCTTGCATTCGCCGTACGTTCTGCAAAACAAAGCGGTTATTGCCTACCATGGTAGTTTTCATTAGGACGAGGCTCCTGTGGGCTTACCACTGGCAGCATGAAAGATCCAACCAGGCCTTTGCTGCCTGCTGCTGTCCGCCTCGTTGACAGACTTTCCAACCTACAGTGACAATTCAGACGGTTGCATAATTACATTCCTAGACATTCCAAGTTGGGCTAGATGGGCGTTCACACTGAAGTTAGTGTCGTCCTCACCGCAAGTTGAGCTGTAGCCTTGAGTCTCGCTGTTTGGTGACTTTTCTGTGACTCCGACATTGCCACCGGCTAAAGTTCCTTGCCCTCTTTTGAGATAGGCATGCCATGACCAGCTTGATTAGGCCCTAAAATGGAACATTCTCATGAGGAGAGATCTGCATTTCTGTGAAAAATGATTGCAGACAGATCTAACTTCCTCCTTACTGTCGGTCAGGGTGTCCTAATGAAAAATGGTGAACCATTTTGCAGCTCGGCTGTTTTCTCTTGGGTCTGTCTGCTTGCATTCACCGTACGTCCTGCAAAACAAAGCGGTTGCTTACCATGCAAGGCTGTATTAGGACCAGGGTGTAAGATAGACAGGTGGGGAAACGAGAGCCAAATGAGCGACCGGATTGTGTACCCCTCGGTTTTCTCTTTTTTTGTGGCGCCATCGATGTGGAGCACCGCAAACTCTCACTCCAGGTGGGCGACCGGTGGCGACTGGCTAAACTGACGGAGATGGTTTCTCGTGGATTTTCAATAAAGACTGTCGTGCTCTCTGTTTATTTTGCGCACTCTCCCATAAAGTTCCATGTAAATCCGATTCCGATTTTTTTCCTCTCGCCGCAGCGCCATCTGTTGCAAATCGGGGGTACCCGCAAGCAGACGAGTACACAATCCGGTCACGGCGCTGCGGTAGGCTTCTATGGGCCGTTTCCCCACCTGCTTATCCTGCACCCTGATTAGGACCAAGGTCCTGTGTGCTTACCTGCGGCAGCATGAAAGTCCCGACCAGGGATTTGATGCCGTTACTGGGGACTGTGGCCGAACCTGGACATTCGTGCTGCCACGAGTTCCTCTTTTGGAGGCCTTGTGTAGGCTGCAGTCATCGGTGCCGGGAAGACGACGGTGTTGGCCCTCGATGCAGCAGCCAGGGACCGCCACTGTTTGCTGCTCTCCATTGCCTCCTTGATGAGCTTTCCAACATACTCTAGAATTCAAACCTTTGCATGATAACATTCCTAGGCTCTCTGGACAAGGCATTCACACTGCAGTTAGTGTTATACTCACTGTAAGTGGGATCCGTAATCTCTGGTCGTGCTGTGTGGTGGCCCTTTCGTGCTTTTAATGTTACGACCGACCAACGTGGCTTGCCCTCTCGTGTGACGGCTTGGCAGCGGTTTGAGTTTTCGTTGAAATGGAGGATTGCAAGTCGAGTCCTGCAAGATGGTTACATTTCAGTGATGGTAAAGTGTGCCACTTACAAAGAGTGGTTATTCTGGCATCAATTCAATTCCATTATCTGATCATTAGGAAGAGACTGTCAGGTTTGTCGCATTGTAACCAATGGACTGGATGAAGGTGTCCAAACAAAGGAAATGTGATTGTAAATTGGTTGACTTACTTTGCAAGCATGCCTTCTGAGCTGAAAGCCTGGGACTTCGGGGCGAAGTCTATCAGGACGCTGTGGAACGCCTCCAAAGCATATGTCTGGCCATGTGGAGACATCTGTGCAAGGTCCTTCAGGAGCAGTTTGTTGCCAGTGATGCTCTTGAATTCGTTGTAGGCCTGCGAGTCTGAGGATGATACAAGTTTTAGAAAAACCACCTTCATTTGGAAGAACAAAAACATACTGGGATCCATCCATGGTCGTGTTGGCTCTGGCATGTCACCATGGAGGCACCTTCCATAGGTTCCTTCGTGCCCCGAGTGTTTGTTGATGACATGGTTGTGCATGCTGAGCCAGATGTCGATGAGCAGTTTCTCGTCGCCTCCTGCAGCCCTTGCTGACCAGTACATATGGTTTGTAGCTGTCTGGATCCAGATTTGCAGGTCTTGGCATCCAGCCCGTTTGCTTGCTGCTGTCAGCTTCTTTTTCATACCTAAAATTCAGAGTCGTGTCAGGGAAACCTGCAGCGTGATCGCTGGAAAATAAAAGCTACACGAATGGCCTGTTAGGATTGCTTACTTTTGGAGATGTGCCATATGTCAAAGAAGTGGTCAATCCCGGGTTCGTGCGTCTTCATGTGCTTTCGTGTGGCAGGGTGACGGTCAGTCACCAACGATCGGATCTTGATACCTGCACCATTAGGTTTCCGAAAATAGCAAAAGAATAAGTGATTATGCCAATTTGAACAGAGTGCCTGAAAGGCCGCCGAGTAGTGATATACATGAACTAAGCATGAACATACCTTTCTCCTTGAAGAATTGCAGCTGCTTGAGGAGGCCCTCCTTCTCCATGTTGACACTGGCCATGGCCTGTACAGACTAAAAAAAGGTGTGAAATGAATATTTTACCAAAATAGTGCATAGCAGTGAAGTAACTGATGACATAACACAAGAGAAAGATTATGAGATTGTTGCAACTGGTTCACGTAAATCCGACTACTTGCCTCTTTTAGCTGGACCTGGACAGAGTGTAGAATCTTGTTGATTTGCTCGACATGAACTGTGTACGTCAGGTACTTGGCACAGAACCCAGGGGAGTCAAATCTCCCGTCAGCAGAGATGTCCACCTCTTTGTTCTGCAACTCGTTGAGAAGTTCTTGTTGCTCTTGCAGCCAGACCTGTTCATGCAGATAAATATTGCTTTAGAAAGGCATGGAGCATACTCCAATAGTCCCATCTGTTTATGTATGCATAGTGTAGTGTTGTAGAATGAATGACTGAGTGAAAGAAAAAGGAAAGCACAATGCAGCGAGTTTGAATGTGACTTAGATTGTGCTAGGTTGTGATTTGTGTTTTTATGTTTGTGTATTTCATAAAAGAGGCAGCAGGCCGCCCGTTACCTCGAAGCTGCCCTACCCTTTTCCATTCTAACAACCACCCTCTGTCTCTTGACTCTCACGGAGAACCTGACTCACTCAACCCAATGCCAGACAGGGAACTGCCCCAGGGTACTACACATAGCAGAAATAAATTAAAGTATCGTGGATTTAGTAGCCCATGGCACATATGTAACATGATGTATAAAATTTTATCTCTTAGCACTATACCATTGAAGTGGCATACTACAAGAAGATATTTATTCATTTAACCGAAGTGTGACTGGGGCTCCAGTTTTGTACCTCATTGGAAAATTGGGTATATGGGAAAAAAATGCAGCTGCAGTGTCCCGGAATATTGCTCACCTTGTGGATTGCAGGTAGAGCGAAGGCCTTCCGATGCTCGTAGAAGCTCGAGTCGGAGATGACCTGCACGTTCATATGGCGTAGCATCCGCAGCGTAGGGGCAATCTTCACTCCAGAGAAGACCAGGTGGCTGGTCAGCAGTATGTTCCCTGCTGGTCTGCCGTTGACGATGGGCTGGCTTTTCCATGTGCGCACGTGCTCCACAGGGCAGATGCTGTAGACTGTGATCAGTGTGCCGGTAGTTTCGATCGTTGTTTGGCACAGTCTTGAGCACTCTTGGCAGGTCTTGAAAAGCTCCCTTAGGCAGCTCTCGAACACCAGAAACTGGCGCTCTTCTTCTGGTGGTGGTGGTGGAGCTGATGCACCATGCTCGATTCTGAAATGGGATCATGTGAAGCATTCTTTACAGATTCTATGTGTTTATATGCACAACTTACCTCTCGTAATCCTCGCTGTGAGACGGAGAGTAGGTTGCGTCAGAGTCTGGCATGTTGCTGGGAACAGGAGATGTGCATTCATATGGCACCCCACTGCTACAAGTGGAGAAGGCAGACTCGGGTGGATGCGACTGTGCAGGCACGTCTGCGACAGGGACAGGTGGCACCACTGCAGGGATGTTTGTTTCAGCAGTACAGTCCCTGAGGGTCATTTCTGCCTCGCAGGGTGCAGGCAGTCCAGTTGCCGAGGCCTGAGTCTGCAAAGGGCACTGTTTATTGCACATTTCATATTTTTAAGGTTGAAGGGAGCAACTCGAGTACTCCACACAATGCCGTCACCGCGGCAAACATCCATGATTCCTAGTTTTTTAGCTGATGGCAAACATCCATGAATTGTTTTGTAGCCTTTCCATAGCTTAGAATTTCATGCACTCAACCAAAGCTCTCACTGTAATACAAATCTAAGGGATGCCTCACTCTTTATATTTGTTTTTATAACTTACATTACCATCTATATTTTCAGTCTCTAGCTCAGCAACAATAAATGTTCATGTCGCGATATGATGTCACATTACATACATACGTAAAGCTGCAGCTTGACATGTATTTACCAACCACTGAAGGAAATGCAACCAACGAGCACTTATAGCCGCAAGTGGGAAACACACAGCAACTGCCATGAGTTCTCAGTGTCCAGAAGTGCCACCAAGCAACAAAATCATGGCGTGCATTTGCTATGTGCATACAAATTTGCAAACGCGGGTTTGCGCGCAATCGTGGGTGCAGGATTGCGAGAAGAAAAAAAAAACTGAGTTTGCTCACAAGAGTAGATATAAAAGAAAACCTGCTTGTTAGTAGTCACGGACACTTGGAACTTTGCTAAGCTGATACGAAAGGGTTTCTGTCTGTAAACAAGCTGGGAAAACATGTATTGACTTCGGGTGGGTCAATAGCAGAGGGGGGTGGTGATGGTGGTACCATTAGAGGCGATTTATGACTCTGTCCTTTTATCTTATTTGTTCGTGTTTTCTTTTTACAAATGAGTTCGATCCTGCAGATGGTGCATGCTGATAGGGTTCTTCGTTTTCGGGTAAAACCCGATAATACCTAATTTTTCTCCCCCGAATAGTTCTGATGAAAATCGGGTTAAACCCGATTTCTCCCCGAAAAGCAGTGTTGAAATCACCTGACTTGATAGAACATATGAACCATTCTGGATCTGTTTAAACGGTGTTTCCTTGGTCATCAGTTGATGGTTACAATTTTCTTCGATTTGCGTGACCTCCGCAAAGATTCACTTCAGAGCGATCAGAAGGTAGAAACATATCCTATGCCTATATAATATATTTTGTTTACTTTTGTTCACTTTTGTTCATGTAAATAACACATTGCACGTATTTGTAATTGATAAAGAAATCCCGAAAAAAAATCCGAATTTCGGAATGGTTTCTGGAAAAACCCGATTTCTTCCCGATTATCGCCCGGAAAAATAGCGCCTGATTTTTACCCCCCCCCCCCCCCCCCCCCCCCGATTTTTGAAAAATATAAAACCCGAAAATGAAAACCCCCGTGCACCGCACCATTCGCGCGATAAGCTCTCAAACCGCAAGTCCGGAACATTAGGCACCACTGATCGACTTGACGAATGCCATGTGGATTCCCATGTTACACAAATGCCTCCTCAGTTCTTAGTTCAGAATATAGATACCAGAAGCAGCCGCACTGCGCAACGCAGAATGCCATGTTCGTGACACTCCCAAAAATATTTGAGCCATCGAAAAACTCACCACGACTTTTTGGCGCTTTGGGGGAGGATCGTCGGTCTCGTCGGCGACGGGAAGCAGAAGCGTCGGCACAGCATCTGATCGAAGACGGGAACGACGCAGGTCGTCCTTTCGGAAAGCAGTCGGCTCGAAATGTTCGGCACAAAAACGGGGAATGAGAGGCAGGTTCTCGATGTCGTGCCCTCGCCCGGCGCAGCGTAACCACGCAGTCCTTCGTGGTTCTTTCTCCGGCAAAGAGAAGAATCGCAAGCCCTTGCGAACGTTCTTCCCAGTTTGCTGGCGGCACGTCTTGACGAAACAAACGTTCGGCATTTCAGGGAAATCGCTCACTCAAAGGATAAAAGAAACTACTGCAATACGCAGTCGCATTCCACAGATGACAAGGAAAAGTTTGACTCATTCACGTGGAAGGATCGCAAAGCTGGCTTCGGAGTCGGGATCCACGGGAAGAAGGAACACGTGTGTCGCAAACGCACGCTTGCACACGCCCCGGGAAGCAGACGACCCGACGCGCCGACGCATCACCCCCTAGCAACAAGCTTGCGGGGAGAAAACATAGTTCGCTGGCTTTGGAACGATAATTGCAAACTATGTTTCCCGCACCACAATCAGTTTACGTTTTTCTCAATCTCTAATTTACAACAAGCTTAAAAAGTATTGCAATAATAACGTTCGCATTCAGCGCGAGATGCAGCATTTCCATTGGTCAAGTTTTAGCGATGGCCAGGGAATGGGCGATTGTCTTTCAAGAGAAAATAGTAACGATATATTTCTACTGCCATTTACTTAATAAACGGTTTTGTACTCTAAAACTTTGTATACATATTAACTTGCACCTACTACGCAATATAACAACATAAACAGACGATCGCAGAAAGCTCCGGAGGGCACCTTTAAAGACCCCAGGTTTGCGGTTGTACCGCACTGGCTAAATTGCTCATCTACAGCTGAGAGTCAGACGCCCATTAAGGCGGACTAACTTCCGGCTGTATAAACATACACACAACGATTTGCAATTAGACGCATAATAACAAAGAGCACAGCGTGCCGCCTCTTTTCTTTGGATGCCTTTTTTTAAACCTGCGCAAGCTCGCGCGTTCTCTCTTTTGAGACGATTAGAACGGTCGCACATAAAACCTGCGTTTCTCCTACCCGGTCGCTTCCTCCTTTCATTACGTATAGTTGGTTATAACCAAATAAGCTATAATAATGGTGTATTATTTATATTTACTTTCAGTTTCAGTCAGGAAAAAGGAGTTTCGCGGGAACTACAGCAAATAAATTAGCTGCGCTTAGGGTATCGGCACTCCCTTCCCCGACAGAGTCCTGAACGCAGCCATTCTGGTGCTTGTGCAGAGCAGGCGCAACTGCCGATCGCCATGATTCAAAAGTTCGACATCCTCAGCATTAGATTCGGTGTTAGGAAGCTCATGTAATGTTCCTTTGCTTTGTCGCACACTGTTTAAAGTGGAGGACGGAAAAGCGTTTTTTGTGATTTCAGATAAAGCTTCAAATAACTGGCAACCATGATTTTAAGCCACAAGATGGCCAAGTGTCGCTACTCTGACGCGTAGCTTATTTAATGAGACTATTCATGCTCTTGTTCAACAGGCTTGTAATACCTAAAGGGGCCATGACGTAAGCCCCGTGGATTCCAGAAGCCACTACCTTTTGACACCTGCCTCTTCCTCATTGTTCCCGCTTGTGCCAGTAAATTAGCTACGGTTCAGAGTAACGACACTTGGCCATATCGTGGCTTAAAATTATGGTTGTCAGTTACCTGAAGCTTTATCTAAAATCGCAGGAAACGCTTTTCCTTCCCCCACAAATGTTTAAACAAGCCGCGACAGAGCATTGCGATATTGCATCAGCTTCCTAGTACCGCATCTAATGCTGAGAAAGTCGTACCATTTGGATGATCAAGATCGGCAGTTGCGTTTGCTCTGAACAAGGCCCAAAATGGCCGAGGCCAAAACAATTTAGGGGAACGGAGTGACGATACTTTAAAGCTCATTTAGTGAATCCAGGCATGAAGTGAACTTGGGTGTATTATTTTCTTCTTCGTCTTTATTGTTTATTGATTTCAATCATATCAAATAATGAACACATTATATCACGCTACGCGTGTGTAATTATTTGTCTGAGATTTATTAACCTGACCCAGTACTTAAACCATTCATTTATCAATAGTAAATCTTTCAATTTTTTTTTTTAAATGTGAAGGTAAAAAGACGAAGATTGATGATGATACAGACGCCAACGCCGCCCTCGGAAATTTTTTGAACACTAGAAATCAGCAGTTTGTCTGCCATCCGCCAGGTAGCGCAACAAAACACCCAAATAGTTTTTAATTGTTTCTAAAATTAGCTAAGTTCTACACCTATTAAGAAACCAAAGCAAGATCATTGTGAAAATTTAATACATCGCAATGTATATCTATTTCAAACAATAAATGTTATTAGATGCCAATAAATCTGTTTGATGTCCAAAAAAGATATGCGTCAAAAACAGGTAAGTTTGAAGGGCTCCTGGAGCGTTATGACTTTCAAAATGAAAAAAAGCCATCGTCCACTTCTTGGGCAACCATTGTAGCTCTAAATGTTATAAAAGATTTTATCATAGTTTAATTATTTCCTCAGAGGCATTTGAAGTACCATGACTCGAAGCACAAAAAAGTGCTACGTTTGACATTAAATATCTAAACAAAAAAAATTTACACAACATTAAATTGTTTTTTGCATATTATCCATTATAAGCACTGCATCTGTAGCTAATTTCATTGCCCTAGCGCTTGTCATTAAAAACACATTTGTGCTGAGAAATGTTAATTTTAGGGCAATATTTGGAGGGATGAAAAAAACAAAGTAGTGCAAATACCAAAAAAGTGTATCGTTACATTCTGCTCCGACATCATCTTAACAAAACTGCTATATTGGAACAGTGCTATCTTTAATGGATCGTTCATAAAACATGAACTACCGGAGCAAGTGAGGGTCCGCGCCCTCATATTCTTAACGCTACAAACGCGCACGAACAGTAAAAACTAACACATACATAGTATCAAATGAAAGAGGATTGCATTGCCTTTCGAATGACATCAGTCCCACAAAACAGTATTTAAAAGGAGATGAGTAATGACCTGCCAAAAGGTACCTAATCTGCCGCATTCAGTGGGACCGTGGCCTTAAAGGGGTCATGAAACGTTTTTCCAACTTTTTCCTGTTTCGCTTTCCTCCTCAACTCATAAATCGCGCATTCCACCAAACAGTTAAAGAAGACGAAAAGAGGGAGTCCCCTCTTGCTCGCACTCTCGTTTGTGTAATCCCGGACACATCCATTCTCCCCCTAGAAGATTAGCCCGTCGCTCAAAATTCAGACAAAAGTTGCTTTCCCCACCCCGTTCATTCCGAAGCTGACAGTGCGGTTGAAGCTACGTGCTCGTTGGGCCAGCCACACTTGCCACGTGAGCGTGGCAAATGTGGCTGCAGAGAATGAAGTCAGGTGATGAAAGGGAGGCGGCTGATTGGTCCGGCAAGCGCGTAGCTTCCACCACAATGTCAGCTTAGGGGTGAAGGGAATAAGTGAGGTCCGGTTGCGTGTGACGTCAGTTTGGACCCGATAACGCGCTTTTGGGACCGCGGATGTATCACAGTGAAAAGGCAGAGAGGTTGCGAAGGGGAGGAGGTACGAAATAGTCCGCTCTGTTTTCAAATTTTCGCACTGAAAGTCAGGCTTTTGACTTTCTACGTTTTTTCTTTTGGTCCACTGAACGATGTGCTATTAGTAGAATCCCAATCTAAAATGATTTATCCCAACCCAAAAATCGTTTCATGGGCCCTTTAAAGGCGGGCGCTCAAAATTTTCTTCAGCGTGGCAGAAGATTCCCCCTCTTTTCTTTTTTTCCTCCTCCCCTTTCCTCCTCCATTTTCCTCCTCGCTTTTTTACGGCCTTCTCTCAAGAGTACTAATGGGCTTACCGGCCCCCCGACAAAATCTCTGTAACCGTTCAAGGTTCTCTGCTTCAATCCCAAACACCAGGGATTAGTTAGGCAGGCTGGAAATGAGCTCAAAAGGGTTCGGGCTGGCTCACTTTTCGCCTTTTTTTTTTTTTTACTCTTTGTGCAGCTCTAAAAGTCAACACCAACTAGCCCAACAACAAGTTCTTTTACATTCAGATACTTCCGCATGCGGCCACATACGCTACAACACTGCATATTTATCTCGAGTGAGCGGAACTTGAACATCACAGCAGAAGGGAAAAAATGGGTATTTTTATCTGAACTTTGAGCTCTACCCAGAGAGTTGAAAATTGGTCGTGCTAACAACGGCAGACTGAAGAGTGATTGTATCACTATTGTGTTTTTGTTTTTTGTACAAAGTAATATTCATGAGTAATTACAAGTCAAAGATATTGCAGTCAGAGGGACACAGTCTGACCATTTCTGCTGCATAATATATAGGTTCGTACCACAGGTGTTTTCTAAAGTGACGGCCGCCTCGTTGAAGCTACTAAGAAGAGTAAAAGCAAATTTCCCTAAAAAGTGAAACGGTTTATGGTATATTTAATCTATCTTCAGCCTTTAAAAATAAAGAATTTATTTGTGGCCAAACGTGCATTTACTTTCTGTCAACAAATGTAACTGAAAAATCGACAGCCGACAAATATCTTGCGTATTAGCAAAGAGAACGGGAAACACGGAGATTGAACCGCAAAATCACAATTTTCTCCGCGTAAAATAGTGCAACTAGCAATAGTAGCATATCATGCCATTTATTAAAAGACAGCAGGTATTACGAAGTTTTCATTCACTTCTGTTCCCATTTGTTCGCTGATTAAGAAATGGAATGCCCAGATAGCCTCTGCAGCCCTTGCATCATAATTGTTCGGGGCTCTGTCAGGGTAGGCAAAGGCCAGCGACCATCTAAAAAAAAAACAAAAAAAAAAACAACAGGAGTTTGGAAGGTGTACTACCGCAAGTTTTGGGGCTGCTTGGCTAATTTAGGCGCCTGGCGTTCCCCGCCTACTTAGAAAAGAAGCGGCACAGCGGCCAGCTCAACGTCGTCACCAAGCGGGAAATCATGCCGAAATGTGTCCTTGAACACGTGCGAGATCTTTACCCAAACCCAGCCGCGATTCGCCACAATTCCTAATTAATTTACGAAAAAACTATAAAAAGGGGTAGGCTGAAACGATATGTCAATTTTTGAATATAGTCATGCGGGCTAACTGCCTACAAAGTACAGAAAGAAAGAAATGCAGTAGAAATGCAGAGCTTTGTTGTGATCTTTATGTCCGTACTCGTCTTTCGCGCTGTACGCCAATTAAAATAAATTCTGCAGTGTCTGTAGATTATGCCTGGTTATGTTGTCTCTAAAAGAAAAGTAATCAAGCAAGTTCGGTATCGTGCCACCAATTTGTGCAAATACAATTTTATGTGGAATTCAACGTCAA